TTCTGTCATGTCTTTGTTCGGGTTCTTCTTCCTGGAAAAAAGAAAGGCTGAGATGTCCCAAGCAAAGTGATGCAATCATTTGAGTACCTTTGTCAAACAATATTCTACGTTCTATCACTTCTCTGAAATAGTTGAATTTGTTTTCTCTAACTACAAATGGAAAATTAATGTTAGAAATGCTCTATCAGTTTGATAAGGAGAAAAAACTATCCAAGGAACTTATAAACTTTTTGTATAAGTTTGAGAGGCTCGGCTTTAGGAGTCAAATAAATTAATGTTCAATTTAATACATTAATAATTTGTGATAACTATTTCCATACTAAGGGTGTGTTTGGTTACATTCATTTTCAACGGAAAATATCAATTTTTCACCCAAATTCTTACTTAGAGTGTTTGATTGCTATTTTTTTCTATGGAAAATATTTTCCAACTTTTGAAAATATGCTTAATTTTCCTTGTTTTTAAGGAAAATATTTTCCTTAGGTAGAGGTGGTTTTTATTTTCCACAAAAGATGGAAAATATTTTCCAACTTTTGAAAATATGCTTAATTTTCCTTGTTTTTAAGGAAAATATTTTCCTTAGGTAGAGGTGGTTTTTATTTTCCACAAAAGATGGAAAATATTTTCTTTTTTAGATGATATGTTCCATGTCAATCAAACACACTCTAAGTGTTTCTGCCCAGTTTCTTACAATCTTAACTAGTTATTGGGTGAAGAGGAAGGAATAAAGAATTTTAGAGCTCAAAATATATTGAAAATCAAAATTCTATTGGAAATGGTTTTAATTAGTGAATTGGGTTAATTTTGAGCTTCAATTTTAATGGTACCAAGCATATATAATAAGTGTGTAATTTATACACTTATTTGGACTCAAAAGTATAGACATTTAGTAGTTCTTTTAAGCAACTATAGCCTAATTTACTGCATATTTCATTTATCAGGTGAAACTCGATTACTGAAAACGGAATTGAAAGAAAGAAGCGAAAAATTACAAAAAATAGCAAAGTACAAAATTTGAGGATCAAATTGCCAAAAACCAATGGTTGATTCGAACCACAAGATGTACTTTGATAATTTCTAGGTGTCAATTCGATGAAATTAGAAGTAAAAAAGGAATGAAGTATGATAAGAATATTACCATAAATCGATTTTCAATCACACAAGATATCTAGCACATGTTAAATCGAAGATTGATACCCATTTTTGGTATAGCAGGCGTCCAAATTGGAGAAATTTATTTCTAGTAAAATTGGAAACCCTTTGAGTTAACTTTCCAATGCACTTTAAATCACTCAATTTGATATCGACAGAGAAAGTTGTGAGCACAATACTGACTGATATATAGGGACAAAAAATTCATGCACGAAAGCAACTTTCCTTATTCATTGGAACTCTTGGGGTACCAATTTGGATGTGATTTTCAACCAATTTCGAACTCCAACAAATACTTAACAGCAGAATATATATAAAGGACCTCTCTAAAACCTCTCTTATACATATTATACTCCAATACTCATTAATTATTATCATCAAATGAGGAAAATTCATAATTTTTGTGAGAGGATTGAAGGGGACTTGCAAAAATACAATCAAGTGAATAATCAAACTTAGATTTTTGGCAAGTGGAAATTCATCAAGAAACCATTAAAGAGATTCAAAATCTCAAGATTCATCTTCATCTTCTCCATTTGTCAAAAACTTGGGTTATGTCTTTTCACTTAAATATGATTTCTTATATGTCAGGCTAGTTTTATACATTGCTATGATGAGATGAACACTTTTTAATGATATTTTTAGATTTTAATTAATTATTTTGACTTTAGTTTGATTTTATTTGTGGATGTTTATTATAGTTTTTATCATTCTTTTCAATTACTTGATCACCAATTGAATTGTTAGTGAATTTTATTATTATCTAAAGAGACAATAGAATTTAAGCACAATATAATAAACATTGTAAGATCCGATAAATGATAGATATATACATCAATGCTTTATATGATGATAAGACATGAAATGTCATGTTTTTCATTCATTAATACTTGCATTTTTGTAATTAATTGATACCTAAATGTATGTAATACCCTTATATTTTGATTTAGGTCGCAATTGGATAGAAACCGTGAAAGTTAAGAGAAAAGAGCGAAAAAGAACCAAAATGGAAGCAAGTGAAAGTTCAGGGATCAAGTTGCAAATAATTCATTGATGAGATGGGTGATGGAATGAAGATTCAGAAGTGTTAGGGTTCAATCGGATGAGAAAAGAAGTCAAAGAGATGAAATAACATAGAAAGTAGACTAAACACTCCTCATGGGATCGACCCTTACTTCCACTACTGCATTAATTTTAAAGAGCATAGATTTTAATTTGGAGTGTCTACGACAACATGCACCATATGATTTTCAATAGGTGTTCTAGTACTTTTTAATGCATTTATCATGTTTGCACTTTCATCAAGAGATAAAAGGGTCACAGGAGAAGAATATATGTTATCGTTATCAAGAGAGGCTATCAAGTAATTAGGAACATTGACTACATGAATGATTTTAAATTGTCGCTTTAATTGTAACACTAAAAATGGAATAACAGGAGAATTCTACATCGTAGCAGTGCATCTTATATATCTTACTAGTATAATTGATAATTTAAGGATTAGTATAGGAAAATCATTAAAATTGTTTGCTATTAGATTAAAGTTGCAATTAATTTTAACTCGATCAAAGATATAGTCCTCATGGGTTCGACATTCTATTACTACTTTATTAATTGTTCACGATCCCGTTCACTTACAAGAAATCAAGCGATCAAGTTTTTGATGCCGTTGCTAGGACTGTTGTTTTTGACAATTTTTAGTTAATTTGAGCTTTAATTTGAATCTTATCATTTTCTTTAATGGGCTATGATACACGTACATCGGATTATCCATAGCGGTATCCAATCTCTCACATGAAAGAGAACTCACTTCGAATAAAATATAATTTATCCAAAGTGAATCCCTCTCTATGTAAGAGAGGTGGACACCGTTTTGGACATTGTATTATGTACAAGTAGCATATTCCTTCTTCAATTTAGCTTATTATATTAGAAAAACTTTATAGTGTTTCTTGCTTTTCTTTTCAGTAACTTCTATGCAAAAGTTCGAGAATTGATTATCTCGCTCAATTTGACCCGGAGATCAAATGATCATTCAACCTTCGAAGAAGATAACAGTTGGAAGTACACCAAAAAGGAATTTTTGACTTAGATTGACTTAACAATGAGATGAAAGATATGATCAATAATCGAAATTGACACACTTCATATTTCGTAACTAATCGGATCGTATCGAAGAGATTATAGTTTCACGATAAAAGAACAAGTTTGATTTTGCCATGTCACGTGACATTTATTGTCACATGTGTTGTCCTAACACATTGCTAGCTGTCAATCTGAGACGTCAAATGTGATTTAATTAATTTAGATAAATTAATGATAAATTGAAAGAGTGTTTTAATTTATCTTATTTCGATTATATGATGATTCACAACGTTGGTATCATAATCGAAAACCTAATGGATCACATACAGAAGAAGAAGTAGAAGAATGAAATATACTAATTAATTAATCAATAAGTGTTGGACAAGTAATTAATTGGTTTGCTTATTAATGGCCTTAGTTAATTAATTGGAATAACTAATTTATGGATCAGGTTCAAATAATTAGATTAATTAAACATTGGACCGGGGTGAGTTTAACTTACGGGCCAAGCTCACTTGGACTTCTATTAATAAGCTGTTAGGGTTTGAGAAAATAGAACAATACAATTCATTATCTCACAGAGACAAGAAAAGAGAAATCATAATTCTCTCATTCTTATTTCCATTGTGTATCTCCATTCGAGACTGGATAATTTGGCAGCTGTGCATTGGAGATGATGATTGTTAGTGTTCAAGATGAGCAAAGGAGTTTGTAGAATTAAAAAATGTATAATTTCGATAACAGCTTCTTTCTAAACACAAATAAAATCCTCGGTGGAAATTGCAATATTGTTTAAATTACGTTGTGCACGATCAACGAAATTCCCAATAACAGGTATAGTTTAGCCTTGTTTGTCAACCATTTTTCTACATTTTACCACATTATTTTTCTACAGTACTCATTTTCAATCACATATTTTTCATTAAAATAATATTAAACATAAATAAAAAACTTTTCTTTCTTTTTTAACTACACATTTCAACATCAATCACTATTCCATACTCCAATTTTTGAAATTAAAGGGCCACAAATAGGGCCTTAGTTGATTGTGTGTGAGGTGGCCAACATTTTTGCCATTGATTTTAACAACACTTAACGCAATCAACAGGATAGATGTTTAAACATTAATGAATTTCAAAAAAGCTATACATTTTCGACTTACAAATAAGATAATTCATTTTGGTATAGAGAAGTAAAAGCAGATAATGCTAACCTGAAAAATCACATAGAATTTGTTCGCTACCAACATATGCTATCAGATTTCCTTTTGCAGACTACCAACTGAACCGTGCAGCATTCTATGGTGAAGACTATCTTTGTCATGGTAAGAAAGTTGAGGGAGTCCACCTAATATATCAAGAAGAAAATGAGAGAGAAGCATAGCTAGAAGAAAGGATGGAAGATGTAAATATAGATGGTTGGTTCAGATATTGAGTACTGATTGACATAGCCAAAGTCTAACCAAAATAATATTGAGTATGGGATTAGTTGACCTTCATGTGAATATCGCATCGGATATATATCATTTGAGTTGAATTGAAATTGAAGATTGAATTGAAAATTGAAATTGAACTTGAAAGCCATCATTTCCCAAGCTTTGTTGTTCCTCCTGTATTTGATTTGCTGAAGTTATAACTGAGTCGGAACAAAAATTAACCTTGATTGATAGAAGAGTTGGAATTTCTCCAAAACTACTGGGGATCTCATTCAAAAATTTGCATGACAAAATTACTAGGTGTTGAAGCCTTGGGAAATGGATATTTTCAGCTCTCCAATGCACCAGATAAATGTCTTCCTAGTAGCAGAAATTTTAGCTGAAGAAATTCCCCTTCATTTGGTTCCCAGTCTCGGCCATGAAAGGCATTACTTTTCAGTTTGAGCACTAGAAGATTTGGCAGCGAACCAATAATCTTCATATCTTTCCAAGGAAACTTGCCTCCAGTTACAGTCAACTTTTGAAGCGATGTAGGGAAAGTAACATTCTTCAGGGAAGACCGTGACATCCCAGAAAAGGTGCATTTTAATGATTCAAGATTATGTAGACTGACGAGATTACTTTGACAATAATCTCCCCAATTCCATCGCCTTTGTTCATAATGGATTCTCAATTTCTTAAGATTGGGAATTCTTTTAAGGATCTCCAGTGTCAATTTGAAATCGTATACCATGGAGAGTGTTTGCAGGTGCTCCAAAACAATAAAACAATTTTCCTCCTTAGCTTCTATAGTAGGAGGATCAGGCAGAACCACATGATTCAACTGGACATGCCTCAACTGTGGCATCTTCCATATATTAAGTGTTGGGAATCTACTTATACATGCACAGCGGAATTTAAAATAATTTTCGATTCTCACCAAGAATTGCCTTTATGTTTAGATAGAAATTGTGACAAGGATTGTACCTTTGAAGAATTCTGCAATCCTTTTGCTTTTCTTTTAGTTCCATCAACCTTGATTCGCCACCACAACTGTCCAATTGTTCAGCCTCTAACGGTGATCCACACAGAGAATAAGATTGCAGCTTCTAGGGTTTTCTCTTGTGCCAACAAGAATAATAAAAATCATATGGACCTCAAACTCTATATATGTATTTATATAAACCCAAACGGGTTCGGTCCGGTCTGGTCCAATATTTAATTAATCCAATTAATTAAACCCGATCCGTGAATTAATCAATCTAATTAATTAATTCGAAAATATAAATAAAAAATCCAATTAATTAATTTATCGAACGATTGTTAAATTAACCAATTGACAATTTGCAATCTTCCAATTCTCTTTTGTGTGCAACCCATTAGGTTCCCGACCACGATACCTAATGACGTAAAATATTATTTTGATCTAATCAAAATTAATAAATTAAAATACCCTTTTAATTTATCGTCAATTCACACTCGCCGTCCCTGATTGACATCTAATAATGTGTCAGGGCAATACATGTGATGGGAAATATCACGTGGTATGACAAAACCAAATTCGTTTGTTTACCGTGAAACTATAATCCCTTCGTCAATATGATCCAATCAATTACGAGATATGGAATTGTGTCAATCTCGGTCATCGATCATATCTTTCACTCCACTATTAAGTCAATATAAGTTGAAAACTCCTTTTCGACTTATGAGTACACATTGACCAAGAATTTCATCATCGACTTAATTGAATGAAACGCAGATCATAATCTCCTACTATCTAAGAGTGACGAATCCTTTATTGATCAATCACAACCTTCATACGATTCTTGACGTACCCGAACGATGTTGTATTAGCGGCCTTTTTCAGAGCAACATCCAACACCGTCAAAGTATGACTGTCCTCATATAAGGTACCATGACGACCTCAAGTCAAATGACCAATTCCACTACCGAACGTTAGAGATTAACCACTGACACTCAGATAGTTATCCATGTGGAATCTCTCGACAGGTCTCCAATGTTTTGTTCTATAACAAAACATCTACGTATTCATTTAAATGTCACCACACTTTAATTTGTGAGATCAGCTACTTTCTTCACAAGTAAGAAATGCCACACGTGATGGTCTATCCGTAATAACGATATCCGTATCTCGTTATTACTTACGACCACGGATGATTTAAGATTCAATCAGATGTATCTCACAATCACAACTCCTTGTGATTACCAAATTACAAATATTTGAATTTACGGACTCTATTATTTATTTAATTGTCTATTAATTAAATAATAGATCTGCCATTTAATTACATTAATTATATATAAAAGTATTTATTTATGTCCAAAGTTGATTAGACCTAGGGCATAATACTTACATTAAGTCCCACATATGTAGAACTTATATTTTTAACAATTATGGTATGTAGATTTCGAAGTTTGTGTAGTGAACTAAGAAAAGTTACGTCTTTGCAGGTGCTAGCAAGGTACCGCAAGTTAACCATTTCAACTATTACAATTGATGATTTCGTCATAGTACTACTTTCCATTTCCCACACTTTAAGTAGCCTAACGTTAAGATCCAACTCACGGAAATTTTCCCATTTTCCAAAATTGAAGAGGGACCTTACGAGCAAATTCGGCAGGCAGTTGGCAGTATAATGATGCTCTCCTTGGTAATGAATTCTTAACCTTTGCAGAGCAATGCCTTCAGAAATACCAAGGAGATCCTTTTTCATGACATGAAAAAACTTTTCCCTTTCAGCTTCCCTCATACAAAGGTCACGCAACAGATCATGGATCTTGCATGTTTTAATTTTGCCCTTGGAACTTTGCTGATGAACCAAAACAAGATTTCTGTCAACAAGATCCAACAAGTACCCCTCGGCTACATCTTCCAAACTTCTAGATTTCACTGGTTTTAGTAATCCCTCAGCAAATCATAACTTGAAAAGTTTGGAGATACTAATATTATGATCTTCCGGGAAAATTGCCATATAGAGGAAACACCCTTTCAGATGATGAGGCAAATGCTTATAACTCAAAAGATAGTATCTTTGAGAAATGTTCATCATTTGAAATCATTATTGAACTGAGATCTTTTTCAACATTTCCCTAGTAATCTGGTGTTTGCATAGCCTTTGCCAGCAGACCACCAATCACAACAATTGCTAGTGGAAGTCCTTGACAGCTTTGGACAATTTTTATCCCATCTTTTTTTCTAATTCAAGAGGGCAAATATCTTTACCGAATACCTTCCTACAAAATAAATTCCAACTTTCATCCCAGTTTAGAAAGCGCATATGATAAGGACGAGAAGAGTTTCCATGATTAGCTACCTTTTCTAACCTAGTAGTCAGCATGATTCGACTTTCGTCCTTGTCGTTTGGAAACAACCGTTTCAAGTCATCCAAAACCTTTGTATCCCGCACATCATCCAACACAATGACATACCTCCTGCCCTTTAAATTCTTATACATAGATTCTGATAATTGTTCGTTGCTTGCTTCAAGCATCTCTTTAGTGAGTATTTTCGTGAAACCTGAAGGAGAAAACATGTTTCTCCAAAAATTGCTACTTAAAAGAGGGTAATCTGGACTACCGCACCTTAAGTTGGTGGACGTTACGTGGCAGCTTCTAATTCGTTCATACCATATAACTTGGATCTGTGTTTCTTTTGGTCGTGTGTGGACCGTTCGATTGGATGAATGGTGGAGATAATAATATAGCTGGCCCTTGGTCTTCTAGAGTACACCGCTGGGAGTGAGAGTTTTCATACTTGCCTTTGAATATTTCTCGTCTCTCTTACTCTGTTTTGGGAGAATTTTTTCTTTCCTTCTTCTTGGTCCTTAGAATCTGGAGATTGTTATTCTCTTGTTAGATTCTTGTAAATCTTGTGTGCTACAGTAACTAGGAGGTAGTTTTGTGCGAGCAATCTATTGTACTTGTGTAGTTGTGGCCGATTTGTGAGGAAGCAGTGTTCTGTCCAGATTTGAGATCCATTTTGGATCGATGATTGATCTGGTTATTCAATTTTGTTCTGTGTACTATACTCTCTCTGGGAGGTAGAATTGCACTAGTAGATTGGGCTGACTCTGAGCCCCCCAGATTAAGCCATTCGGGTCGAACTGGGTGAACATTTTTGTGTGTTCTTTTATTTTTCTTACACTTTTCTTTTATTTTTCTTACACTTTACGTTTGTGTTGGTAATGTTGCTCTCGATTTTGGGTGTAAATTCCCTACAAATCTAGTATTAGAGCCATTAAAGCAGTGAGGTAAGGCATATTTAAATACAGTTTGATTTCTTGTCATATTAACGCGTTTTCTTCACTTGTGCAGTAACAAGAAAGTGAAATAAATCGATCCTTGGAAACTATGGTTTCGGTTTCGCACCTGCAAAAAGTCGTACCTGTTTTTTGTAAAATACTGTAACACACAGTATTTGGTAAGATCTTATACAATTAAACCATAGTAGTTGTTTGCATGATATATCTGATCTTAAAGTATGCTATTGTGATTTGATTATTCAAAGAAATTGAATAAAGTGTTTAATTGTGATAGAAGCACGTTTTTAGGATATTTCATTTTTTTGTAATCTGATTGATTGGTGCCAACTGTTTTGGAAATCTGAAATTGGTCCTATCATGCTATTGTGTTTTTGTCAGTGCATGTTAGATAACTGTCTGTTTGCCATTTCGGGTCTGCTTACTTGTCAATTATCTGCATAATTTTTTTTTAAACTTTTTCCGTAACTTAATTGATTTCTTGAATTGAATCACTTATGTCCTCGAGTAATAACCCTTTTACAGAACCCGCAATGGGTTCGAAGGTCAAATTGAGTCAATTCGATGGAAATGGTGACTACTCTATATGAAAACAGAAAATGAGGGCAATTTTGGTCCAGCAGAGGGTTGCAAAAGCCCTTAATGATCCTGAAATTTTTTTTGATGAATTGAAACCTAAGCCTGCTGAAATTGAAGATATGAATGAAATAGCATATAGTTCAATCATACTGCATCTGTCTGATAATATAATGAGACAAGTTGAAGAACATGAAACTGCTCGAGCCCTGTGGGAAGCACTAGATGCTTTGTTCTTATCTAAAACACTACCTAATAAGATCTACCTGTTGGAGAAACTGTTTAGCTTCAAAATGGATCCTGGAAAAGACTTAGAATCCAATCTTAGTGATTTTAGCATTCTGGTTAAGAGTCTTTCACATAACGATAAGAAATTCGAGGATGAAGATCTGGCTGTGATTCTTTTAAATTCACTACCTGAATCTTATAAAGAAATTTGAAATGCTATAAAATATTCGAGAGATGCCTTAACACAAACGATTGTGACAAATGCCCTAAGATTTAGGGAATTGGAGATTAAGAAGGAATCAAGAACTAATTGCTTAGAGGAGAACCTGTTTGTGAGAGGGAGAACTGAAAAAAGGGAAAACTATTCATTGAATAAGAGGTTCAAATCTAAATCTAGAGGTAGGTCCAAGTCAAAAGACAAAAGTAACAAAAAATGTTATCACTGTGGAAAACTTGGACACTTCAAAAGGGACTATTTTGAATTAAAGAAGAAGTTAAACGAACCTAATAACAGTGAGTTAAATAATGCTGCTGTAAGTTCAAAACTTGACAGCCTTCTAGTTATGACTGTGTCTAACGATGGAACAGATACTTACTAGATACTTGACTCTGGATGTACTTTTCATATGTGCCCAAATAAAACTTGGTTTCATGACTACAAGGAGATAGAACCCAGGAAAGTGTATATGGGTGATAATAATTCACAAAATGTTCTTGGAATCGGTGATATTACAATCAAAATGTATGATGGTAGTGTCAGGCAGATTAAAAATGTAAGGCATGTCCCAAAATCTAAAAAGAAATCTCATCTCACTAGGATTCTCGAAGATGAAGGACATACTTTTAAATCTGAAAATAATACTTTGAAAATTCTCAAAGGATCTCTTGTAGTTATGAAGGGACCAAAAAGAAATGGTTTGTATTACTTGATGGGAGAGACTATTAATTCTCAGGATTCGAAATCCTTAACCATTGCTGAAAGTAAATCTGAATTGTGGCATTATAGGATGGGACATATTGGTAATAAGGGCTTAAAATAACTAAATAATCAAAAATTGTTTGGAAAAGATGAGATAGAGCCACTTAAATTCTGTGAGACGTGTGTACTTGGAAAGTCTCATAGAGTCAGCTTTGAGACGGGATCACACACTACAAATAGACCATTAGATTATGTCCACTCAGATTTGTGGGGTACAGAAAGCCACTCAACCTTTGGTGGGAACAAATATTTTCTTTCTATAATTAATGATTATACTAGAAAGGTCTGGACATACCCATTAAAAGCGAAATCTGAGACATTTCAAAAATTCATAATGTGGTTAACGATGGTTGAAAATCAATTGGACAGAAAATTGAAAACCTTAAGGACAGATAATGGGTTGAAATTCTGTAATGCAGAATTTGATAACTTTTGCAAACACAAGGGAATAATTAGACATAGAACTATTAAGCATACACCCCAACAGAATGGGGTGGCTGAAAGAATGAACAGAACTCTTATGAATAAAGTTAGATGTGTGCTGATAAGTTCTGGTTTAGCAAAAGATTTTTGGCTAGAAGCTTTATGCACTGCAGCCTATCTTGTTAATAGGTCACCCTGCAATTCAGTAAAGTTTAAAACCCCTCAGGAAGTGTGGACTAGAAAGCCACTTAATCTGTCTAATATTAGGGTCTTCGGATGTGCTGCATATGCTCATCAGGTTGAAGGAAAATTAGACTCTAGAGCTACTAAATGTGTCATGTTGGGATACCTTGAAGGAGTTAAAGGGTCCAGGTTATGGATACTAGGTGAGAAAGGCATTAAGATCAGTAACAATAAATGCCATGCTTGAAGAATAAAAGGGATAAACAGGATGCAATTGAAAATAGTACTTCACAGAATGAGGTGAAGTTGGCAAGAATGGGTCACAATTCTACTGATATAACTGAACCTGAACATGTACAGCCAAATGAAGGGGCATATAACATAGATGAAGGTGAAGCTACTACCTCCCAAACTGAAACTGAAACTGAAATTGTGACACAAGATAATCCTGTAAGTGAAACTAGTACCCAAGATTACCAATTAGTGAGAGATAGGGAAAGGAGACAGATTAAGCCTAATTCCAGATATGAAGCTAACAATCTGACTGATTTTGCCCTAATCACTGGTGAAAACTTAGAACATGCTGAACCCTTATCTTATAAAGAAGGTATTTTTAGTCCTAAGTCTCAGAATTGGAGAGAGGCCATGAGAGAAGAAATGAAATCTCGGATTGACAATAAAACATGGAAACTTGTTAAGAAACCAAAAAATCAGAGAGTGGTTCAATGCAAGTGGATTTATAAACTCAAAGAAGGCATTTCCCCAACTGACTCTTTGAGGTATAAGGTAAGGCTAATGGTCAAGGGGTTCACCCAAAGGGAGGGAATTGATCATAATGAAATTTTTTCACCTGTGATCAAGTATAAAACTATAAGGCTAATGCTTGCTCTAGTTGTTCAGTTTAATTAGGAACTTGAACAATTAGATGTCAAAACAGTCTTTTTGCATGGGAAATTGGATGAGGACATCTATATGTGTCAACCTCAAGGTTTCGAGGAGAAAGGGAAATCTGACTATGTTTGTAAATTAGAGAAATCCCTGTATGGACTAAAACAAAGTCCAAGACAGTGGTATGTCCGATTTGACACATATGTTGTGAAAATTGGTTTTAGGAGAAGTGAGTATGATCATTACTTGTATTATTACAACTCTAAACCTAGCAGCGAGATATATCTACTCTTGTATGTAGATGATATGCTGCTGGCCAGTTTAAAAAAGGCAGAAATAACAAGAATGAAGAACCTTCGAAAATCAAAATTTGAAATGAAAGACTTAGGGAATGCTAAGAAAATACTAGGAATGGTGATAACTAGAGATAGAAATGAAGACAGGTTAACAATCACTTAAGAATCTTACCTACATAAAGTCATATCAAAATTTGGCATGAAAGAGGCAAAGTCTGTTAATGTTCCACTTGCTGCTCACATGAATATCTCCCCAGCCCAATGTCCTAAAATTGAATCCGAAGTTAAGGACATGAAAAGTATTCCTTACTCTAATGCAATAGGATCAGTAATGTTTTCTATGATCACAACTAGACCTGATCTAGCATATTCAATTAGATTTTTAAGCAGGTTTATGGCTAACCCAGGGAAACCACATTGGGCTGGTTTAAAATGGCTATTACAGTATATAGCTGGGACACTAAAGGTAGGTTTAGTATACAAAAAGGGATCAGAACCATTAACCCTTAAGGGGTACGTGGATTTTGATTTTGCAGGAGATAAAGATCAAAGAAAATCTACCACTGCTTATATCTTTACACTTGGTGATAATTGTATCACCTAGAAGCCTCAACTTCAGCCTATCGTCACTTTATCCAGTATTGAAGCTGAATATATGGCTATTACTAAATGTGTTAAAGAATGTATATGGCTAAAAGGAATTTGAAGTGAACTGAATTTTTTTTTAACTTCACCAGTTATATTTACTGATAGTCAAAGTGCCTTATTATTAAGCAAGAATCCTGTCTACCATGAAAGGTCTAAACACGTTGAGGTGAAGTGTCATTTTATAAGAGAAAAACTCTCTTCAAGTGAAATGGTTATTGGGAAAATTCATACTGACATTAATCCATCTGATATGGGCACTAAAATTCTGTCTGTAAGTAAATTCAGAACTTGTCTGTCACTTCTTAATATTGATACTGGGTAATTTTCTTTGTAGGTACCTTGGGCAATGATGTTGGTCAGCCTTTCCACAAATGTGCAATTCAGCAACTGAGAGAGTAAGTGCAATTTTTGAGAACCAAGGTGAAGATTGAAGGAGAAAACGTGTTTCTCCAAAAATTGCTACTTAAGAGAGGGTAATCTGGACATTTATCGCACCTT